AAACAACAATTTCAAGACTGCCGTATTGAAAATAATGGAGCTACCCGTCACAGACAAGGACCTCGTTGCGAACCTCCAGAGACTGCTACAGGACCACAGAACAGCGAACGAGGAGAAGGAACCGACCTGCGAGAGCACAGATCCAGTAAGGGAAACATCACCCCAACCGGACGAGCTAGAGATGGCAGGATCCATTTTTGCGCCCTTTTCCCGGTGGCCATCTTGGAATGGCCAGCAACCAGTGAGAAGCCCGGATTCAAATCCGTTGGTGCGAACCTGCCCAAGCCCTAAAACAAATAAAGACTCATCCAAAAACAATGATAGAAATAAAAACCAAAAATCCAGGAGCTCACCTACTGAGCTCGAGATCGAGAAAGCAATGGAGACCCTCGAAGCAGCCTTCGGCTCTGCTTTCAAACCTCCTGCAGCAAGCACGAACCGCGAGGAAGCCCCTGGGACCCGAAGGGACCTCAGAGCAACCATCGGCAGGAAACACCGACCCTGCCACTCCCCGGGAAGGTGACTCACTTCTCCAATGAACAAAGAACATCAACCGCCTACAGACCGACCCCACGGCAGGACTCGAACTCACCACCCCTCCAACTATCGGCGCGAGACCCGAGGGAAGAAAACCAAGTCAACTACTTACCTGCTCTACGACCTCCTCTGGGCTTCTCTGCTCACCCAGGAACCAGCATCCGTGGATCAGGACCCGCCGCCGCTGCCGCTGAGCTGCCGGGCTTCGGAAGTCCTCAACCAATGACCGCGATGCCCCCACGCCTTCCATCGATGTTCGCAAGGGATTCAGCCACCCAGCAACAGGTTCCGACGCCCAGCGTGGAGTCCAGATACGCCAAGGGTAAGTCCAACCTCCCCCTGGCAGGCCTAGGCCTAGGAGCCGCGGCCACAAGCTCCTCACCTGACGACTTCCAGCGCGAAATGAGCTTCGCGCATGCCCAGTCTTCACCTGCAGGGAGAAAGGAAAAAAAAGTGTCTAGCAGTTTTTTTAACCTAAGCTCAAGCATCCCATTGCCTTATTGTGAATTCACTCACATCCAGGACCATGGACAGCTGCCTTCAGTAAGTAATTACCCAAATAATTCTGGAACATTACCTGCTAACTTTCCTAAACTACAGGTAGATGGGAGAAACCTTTTAGAATGGAGTCAGCAACTGCAAATAACATTTATGAAAGAAAACATGTTTTTTCTAATTTCAAACCCACCCCAGAAACCTTGGACATTTGAAATTGACTGTATTCATCACAGAGCTTTTTGTATATTATTAACCAGCATCTCACCCACTATGTACCCAAGCATAGGTGATCACATGATGGTACATGAGGTCATGCAAAAACTTTATAGCCTATTTTACAGTAGAAGTAGAGCCACCACTACAAAGATATCCAGAGATTTTCACTCTGCCAGGCTCAGGCCAGGGGTTCCCATGAGCGAGCACCTGTTGAAGCTAAATGCTACCAAGGCTGAATTAATGCAGAGAGGGGAAGCAATCACTGAGTAGAGTATGATGAGCATAGTCATAAACTCATTAGACAATAGCTGGGACAACTTTGTGACACAACTGGACAGTCTCAGTCTAGAACACTTATCATTAGACATACTCACCAACCGCCTAATTGCAGAGGATAACCTAAGGAGGGACCGCCATCTATCCAGGAGAGATCCTAGGCCCATCAAGAGGGTTGAGTTCCAGGATAGGGCAAAGGGTACTCCAGAATGCTTTTCTTGTGTTTCCAAGAGCCATTTAAAAAGGGATTGCCCCAGAAACAATAGGGACAGGGGATACAATGATTGCAGAGGGAGACAATCACCAGACCGCAGGCCTTTTAGGGAACGAGGACGCGGGTGGTCTCCCAACCCCAGGCGAAACAGTGAGCGTAGGGACAGTTCCAGGGACAGTAACCCCGGGTCCATGTATGGGTTCAGACATGAGAAGCCAGACTCCAAACAGGAAATAAGCAAGAACATGTGGCTCTTAGACTCAGGAGCCACTAACCACACCACACATAACCCAAATTTATTCATTTCCCTCATAGAGACAGATTTTGAGATCAGAGTGGCCAACCAGAGCATTGCCAAGGTAATAGGAAAGGAAAGTGTACATATCCCAGGAATAGGGAAAATAGAGGGGGTGCTATATATGCCCGAAATACCCTATAACGTGCTAGCTACCACTAAACTCACAACAGATACAAACACCAAAGTAATGTTCAAATAAGGCAGAGTATACTTATCCAATCAAGGGAGAAAGGTTGGGAAGGTAACCATACATGACGGTCTACCTTATTTTACGCCTAACGAGAATAACGAAGGGAGTGTAAACACAAGCACTGCCAATGAAGAAAAGGGAAACACAGAAACAGGAGGGATACACCAGAGGGAAACCAATTGCATGTCACCAGGTAAAAACACGGTATCTATGGGAAAGCCCATCCATGATAATTGTGCACACCTTCTCCACAGAAGACTAGGGCATACCAGTTTCCCAGTTGTTAAAAAAATGTTGGACTGTACCGAGGGTTTAAAAGTAAAAGATTGTGAGAATTATTTAGAGTGTTCCGTGTGTTCCATTACTATATCAGTATAGGGTCTCCTGCTTGAGCAGTGGGTTGGAATAGAAGACCTCCAAGGTCCCTTCCGGCTCTATTCTTATTGATTGAAATGTATATACTCTCTGTAAGTGTGGTGATTCTGTAAGAACAAACATAAGATCATGCCATATTTGTTTCTGATTGCAATTCAGAGTTCTTATTTTGACCATCAATGCCCTACATGGCTTGGCACTAAAGTATTTAAGACCATTTTCTGCACCTGGTTTCAACTCATCCGATTCAAAAATCTTAAAAGAATTTGCTTGAAATTCCCCATTTTCAGGATGTAAGGCGCAGGCATATGTGAAGGCTTATAGCAGGATCTTCTATACTTTGAAATAGTCTTCCCAAAGAAATCAGTCTACCCCCATTCCCCCCTCCCATACACTATTAAAAATGGAGTTACTTTGGAGAGTCTAAGGAACTCTCCATGTCATGAGATTGAATAATGAATTGATACTATTTGATTAATTGTTTTTTTTTACTGTGGATGTATATGAGCCACTCTCTTTTCAATTGTAGAAGAGAGATCAAATAAATCGTTTTTCCTCTTGGTTCGGCCCTATGTCGCGGATTCCTTCTACTAGTAGCTGATTTCAGACAATTTCACTCCTCAACCTATGTGCATCTATGTAAAGATGAAGAGCTCGTGTCCAGGCTCTTTATATCTGAGATACATATTCCAGCCATGAAGCATTGAGATATATGAACATATCTGAGCGTCTATCAATATAGAAGGCGGTGTTATGGTCACCTTTCTAGTCCTATGCCATGACCAGAGTGGCCAGATGATATTAGACAGACCCACAATAGTCTGGTCTATAAAGAAATAGTAATGGCAAACTATAAACCTGGATATAGCAATATCCTCCCTGATTGGCTCAGCTATAGTAGAAACCTAATCAAAAATGGAAACAAACACTGTCAAATCCAACTTGGGCAGCCACATTTAACCTATGCACACTGTAAGACAACATCTAACTTTTTGTAAGTGACTAGGGGTGACTGGTTCGGACCAGGTCGTTACTTCCTGATTTTAACTAGGAAGTGTTTTTTTTTTACCTTCTGTGCATGCGCAGAAGGTTTTGCGCATGTGCAGAAGGTCTGCGTGCGCATATGACACACGTGCGCACTTCCGAACTGGTATGGAAGGTAAATAGATTTCACCGCTGGGATAGACCCTCAATTTGTTAGTTTAGAAAAAAATAAATTTCTTTCTGCATGTTTTCCACTCATTCTACTGTTAGAGTGCTGGTGAAGATCAACAAAGATTTAACCAACTTCACTCTTTTCTTACCTTAGTAGCCTCAGTAGCCATGGTTCAAGACAACCTTGCCTTGTTGCACTATCTCACCCATTTTTTGCCTTCTGAGTCAAGGTCCCCATTCTATACATCAGGGACACATCTTCACAGCTTGGAAGATTTGATTCTGTTACCTTCCTGGAACATATAACAGGTTACACTGACTTTTTGGAGACCTCCACCACAAGCTTTCCTATGCAATAATTGTGCAGAAAAATCTTTTGAGGTCTTAAAGTTCTCTCTTAATCACCTGGATTCCAAAGTCCAAGGGACTAAAATGCCTGGAATGCCAGGCTGGACATAATAGTACAGATCAAAATTCCATTATTTCATTAGCTACTTCTATTCATAGGACAAACTGAATAGGCATGTATATATCAGCCTGTGTGGGAAGCATACAGGATACCAGCTTTGCCATTGCCAAAACAAGAACAGATGGAAATTCCCTCCCACTCCAGAAATAATTGCTTTTTTAGCTCTTTATCTAGGACAAGCAGGAGAAAGAGGTGCAAGAATTAGAACACCAATTGCAGTATAAAAATAGACCAGCAGTTGCTGGAATTCTTTCATAATGGCTTCTTAGCTGTTCTAAGCCAATGAGCACCAGTGTTTCTGATTTCTTACCTGTAACCAAGTGTCCAATTGTCCTTTTTCTCAGGGTTCATTAGCTTCATTAATCTGCTGCAACATAAATGATAATTGTGTAGCATTCAGAGATAATATCATGATATACATATTTATGGACTGCAATCTGCTGCAGTATATGGACTATGTCGAGTACTCTGTCTGTCTGTCTGTCTGTCTGTCTGTCTGTCTGTCTGTCTGTCTATCGTTTGAGGGAATTGGGCTAGGAAGTACAACCACACATACATTGCTCTCTCTGACCCTAAAATTTGAGACGGTAATACTCTATAAACTGGATGAAGTGTTTAGGAATCACAAATATTTTGTTATAATCATTAGTCAACAGATTTCATTAATTTAATCTTGTCTAGATCGAACATTGAGAATCTGACCATATTAAACTATAGAACAGTGTATAATGTATAAGTGTAATGATTTTTTTTCTGTCTGTGCATTTATTAGGGCTGCAAAAATGGACCTTAAATGTTCTTTGGAAGAGTGTTCAATGGCATTAAATTTATTTCTTAACAATAAATTTTCAGAAGCTCTGGAATTACTTCGACCATGGTGAGTTTGTTTGCTAGAGTTTTTATCTGGTAGCTAGAAATGTATTTAAGGCCTCTGAATAATATAATTTCAATTTCTGTTCTTGCCTAAAATATTTCTTTTACAACTATTTAATCCCATACTCTAAAACAGAATTTTTAAAACTGTCAGAGAAGGGTCCCTAAATTTTGCCCTAGGCATGATAGTCAAATTTAGACCTTTGAATATCATGAATATAGTTTTTCTCCTGATTCTGTTTCCCAGCAGAGGCTCAAGGATTTCATGAAACAATATTGTGTTTTTTAAACTAGTCTTTTGCTATAAAGTGTGATTTTTAAAACGAACTTTTAAAATACCCCTATTTTTATTTATTTTACAAAATACTTAAGCTTTATTCATTCAGACTTGTCATTTTGTCAAAAAAACAAAATGTGTTTTTGTTTTCAGTGTTTTATAGAGTTGTAAGTTTTTATTCTTTTTGATATAAAAAGATTAAATTTTATTTATTAAAAATTGCATATTGATTTCTTGCCAGCACTTACCTCATGTGATAATTACTTTTATGGGAGAGAGGTCATCACAATATTGTAAGGTCTAGGAACCCCAGGCAAAAAGTGTTCCTGATTGTTTTACTTAAAATTAATATTTTAGCTCATATTTTGATATGGGGGTATTCACATATTCTTTGAAAAGCAAATAATAAAGGAGATTGGACTCCAAAATAATTCCCAAATAAAGAAAATGAATAATTTAAAGAATTTTATAGGCTTGGCTCAAAATATTACATTGAATACAAAGTAGCATTTTAAAAATAAACTGTATTGTAAAAATTATGTAAAATTTCACTTTTGTTTTTGACAATTGTAATTGGGTTTCTTATCACTGTTTTTATATTTTATTTTCAAAATAGGTCTAAAGATAGCATGTACCATGCCCTAGGTTATAGCACTATATTAGTTATTCAAGCAGCAATGACATTTGAACAACAAGATATCCAAATGGGACTGTGTACAATGAAAGAAGCTTTACAAACTTGTCAAAAGTAAGATGGAACAATTTTATGAACATTCTTGCAGTATTGACATAATCAGGATTGATATTATTTAATTATGTAATGAAAAATATATGTTTGTTTATATCCTCCCTCTATTATTTTTACAAATAAGACAGAATATATCCAACACCCTTTCTCCTCCTATTCACTCCACTACAACAACCATGTGAGATGGGTTGGGCAGAGAGAAAGGGACTAGCCCAAGGTCACCCAGCTGACTTTTATGGTAGGGCTCTAGTTAATTTGGAAAGAAAAAGGTATTTGTTATTTTAACAGAGAAAGCTCAACATTTTCATTATTAATATTTGTATGATTTTTATAACAATGAAGTTGGATGAAAAAGAAATGGCAATTTTCAAATTTTAAATCTGCTGTTGAATCCATTAAAAAACAAACCTGGATCTATTGTCTTTGCCCTCCCCTTCTCAAAATTAAGTAATATCTTTGCTACATTTTAAAACTTTACTACAGATATCCCTCAGATTATAACACTGCAGTAGCCAAGTAATTGAGATATCTCTAGAGCTTGTACTATCTATCAAATCACATAGAGCTAATCCACATAACCTGCTTGTCCCAGAACAAAGAGAAAAAATGCAGTGCAAAGAGTAACTAGAACATTGTGTATACCAATTCAAAGTAGCTTTTCAGATTGCAGCTAATGGTGAGTGGGAGTAGAATTTCACCAACAGTCACAACCTTAAAATGTTGCAACTAAGAGGTATGTAGAGTAACATGGGGCACACTATTCTGGTGTGTGTGTGTGTGTGTGTGTGTGTGTAGGGTGTATTGTGAGAATGACAAGATTTAAGGAAGCATTACTTATTTCTGGCTCCAAGATTGAAGCACAACACAGCAAAGCAGTTGTATGAAAATGTCCATAATCTTCTGGCTCCAATCCCTTATTCCCCTAGCAGGTGGGCAAATTTGTGTTTTCTTAGCATCATGTTATTGGAAATTATTTGTGCAATAGTACAATGTGTTCTCCATTGTGGGTGGAGCCAGCAGCCAGGCATGGGTTGTACTCGTCTGTTCAGATTGATGGACTGAATCTGTCATAATTCTTAAGTCCCGCCCCTGTTGTTAGGGCTCCAGCTTTTGACTCAGTCCGTCAGTCTGGACAGATGTGTGGGACTGTTGCTCTGGCTATTTTGATCTTATTCATTGGACTTTGACTTTGGCTCTTTTTAGGATTCTGTTTAGGATTCTTTGTTTTTTATGATAGTTGCTTTAATTAAACAAAGAGGCTAAAAGTGTGTTTTTGTCATTTATGTTGATATAGGTTTAGAAAAAGAAACACAGTGGTGGAATCATTATCCAGTTTGGTTTCAAAACAGTCTGTAGATCAGCTGAGTGAAGGTAAGAATATATATGCAGACATCCCATGATATTTTAGTCTATTTTGCAAAAAGTTGTATATATTTTTCACACATATAAATGCACACATGGTGAAAAATATGTACAACATTTGCAAAATAGTCTAAAACTCAAATATCATGGGAGGTGTGCTTTCTTTATTTTTATTTAAAGATATGTTTAACTTTTTTCACTTCTGTAGAAAGAAAAAATCCTGCCCAGATTATCAGCATATCAGGGTTCTGTTTTGATCTGCCTTGTGAAACTTTGGTGTCAAAGGATGCGAATCACACCCAAATTGTTTTCTGGATGGCAAACTGTCCCAATCTTCACCCTTAAAAATCTAAAAACCATGGGAGCCTAAAAGTTGATTATCAATAGTTAATATTTTATAAATCTTAACATTTAATTTTAATGTTGGTTTAGATGTTGCTCATTCAATTAATAGGCCCCTTTCATTTCCTTACACTGGCAACAATGTGGAGGGCATTTTAGGACATTATGTGCACAAGAAGACGTGCCTGAATATAATTTAGAGTTCAGTATTAATTAACTTTCTAACTGACGGATGCTACAAGCTCTGATATAACAGGCCTTATAAAACACCTATAAAACACATAAGTCTGGCAATGACCCATGTAATAATTTTGTTATTGCTGAAATTTTACACAGTAATATGGAATGGTGCACCTCTGAATTTGCTTCCTTGTTCATCTATATCATGCACAGTATCAAAGGACTGCAGTCTAGCCATTACAGCTAGTCTGTGACATAGGACTGATTGCTTTATGGCTGTTCAAAGTTACATCAACCACCCATAAAAGCTATTTATGGCTTTTGTGTACAGCCATTGGGTCCCCACAGGCCTTTTCTTCCTCCCACGGGTCCTGCAGGCCTTAAGCCTGATTCTACCCCACCAAGCCTCACATTCTTCTCCTCATTTACCTTTTGAAGAACTCTGGAGCCTTTTGCAGCACTGGAAGGATCGCTTAATCGCACAGCCATGTAGCCCAATTCCGGAAGTTCCCACCATGTTCCCAGTGGCCACATTGAATTCTGATATGATGATCCTAATTTTCACAAAGCAACCTAGAAACTTGGCAGCTAAAAACCAGATTATAAATCAGGTAAAATCCTCCAAATATTTGCCTATGAATTTTTATAATTCTACTAAATGCAAGGCAGATCAACATTAGGTAAAGGTAAAGGTTCCCCTTGTACATGCATGCTAGTTGTTCCCGACTCTAGGGGGCAGTGTTCATTTCCGTTTCTTAACTGAAGAGCCAGCGCTGTCTGATGATGATTCCATGGTCATGTGCCCGGCATGATTAAACACTGAAGGCGCACAGAACGCTGTTACCTTCCCACCAAAGTGGTCCCTATTTTTCTATTTGCATTTTTACATGTTTTTAAACTGCTAGGTTGACAGAAGCTGGGGCACGTAACGGGAGCTCACTCCGTTACGTGGCACTAGTGATTTGAATTGCCAAACTGCTGACCTTTCTGATTGACAAGCTCAGCGTTTTAGCCACTGAGCCACCACGTCCCCTACATCAACATTACATCATCCAAAATGCATGAAAAATAACAGTTATAATCCTATAGCACAGTCAAACATCATCACAGGAAATGCTTTATGCCATTTTGGATGATGTCATAATTTTATGATAATTTTTATGTCATTAAATGTTTTATAAAATTTACCAAATTTCAATTCCACCGGAGTCCTTGATCCCAAATTTTGGACATGTTCTATAAATTAGCCCATTTGAGATAATTTGGTTCAAAAATTGTTGCTTTTTGCCCAGTTAAAGGTTACAAGAACAAGTGTTTTAATGGTATATGGATACTTTCTGGTGGCCCCAAGTGTTCCAAACAAGCTAATAAAAAGAAATCCAAGTGAATTACAATTGGACCCTTCTGGATAAGGGCCTATTGAATCCATACTTCATATCCTGCTGCTAAATTTTATTGTTTTATAAGGGTCAAACGACCCATTTTATCATCACTTATTCACCAAAGTACTCAGTAAATTCTTACCTATTCTATGTAAAGTTAAATACACAGACTAGTACTCGGTTTCTATAAACATTATCTAATTTGGTTACATGTTTGTAAAACCAAGTGCAATTTGATTGCTTTGATGATCTAGTTATAAAACTATTGTGTCCCATTGGATGTCAATTTGTTGTATTCTGATTAGTGACCATAGTAAAGAACCAATGTTGCTACTGGTAGGTGTTGCCTTAAGTATTATATGTTATTTATTTATTTATTGGTTCGATTTATATGCCGGGCGGCTTACAATGCGTTAAGCAATAGCCTTCATACTTTTGTATATACCTGCTTAGTAGGGCTTTCCCCCCTCCCCCCCGCAAGCGGTGTTCTTTTTTATACAAAGTCAGCTTATTGCCCCCACAAACCGGGTCCTCATTTTACTTACCTCGAAAGGATGGAAGGCTAAGTCACCCTTGAACCTGGTGAGATTTGAACTTGCAGTAATTGCAGGCAGCTGGTGTTACTTAACAGTGCTTTAGTCTGCTGCGCCACCAAGGCTCTTACTGTATATGCTGTATACTGTATATGCTGTATGTGTCCTTATAAGCCTTTCATATGTATTCAGCAAGCTTTCCTGAACAATTGGAATGGATTGCATGTATATTTATATTTCTTTGTAACCAAATACAGTACATATTTTCGATATCATTTCTTCTTTATGTCTTAAGAACTTTAAGAACTGCCAAAACAGTTAAAATGTCATCATTATTTCTACAGGCTCAGTGTTAGTTCTCCAAGTAAATATTGGTGCAGTTGTTTCATTATGTGATTTAAAAACAAAACAAAACCCAAACAACTTACACCATCTCAACATAAAAAGCTTTCCAAAATCCTGGTTTAGATTTCAGGTACAAATTTTCAAGGGATTTTAACAAGCCTTGATTCCCTTGACCTCTATACCAGTATTGGTCTGGTTTATGAATTATTTTCAGCTTTACTTAGAATTATTTTTATCTATGTAAAATACTTTAAAAAATTATTTGGGCTACCAGATAAACTAAAAGTATTTGATTAAAAACATAATGTATATTATAGAAACAATAAAAACATTAACATAAAGCAAAACAGTTTGCAAAAATAGTAAAGAGACACATATCTTCAGTGTTTGATTAAATAATAGGGAGAAAAGATAACTGGTTAGAAAAAGTATATGAAATTAAAGGCTAACGTAAGAGAAATAACGTTAGTCAATTTAAAAAACAATACAAATGTGAGAATACAGCAATATTTTGTGGAATGCCTTTTGGTTTTTAGCATTTCTTGCTTTAATAAAAATGCTGGGTACTAGATATATATATATACATATATACGTATTTCTTTTTTAATAGAGGAAATGCATGCAGAACTCTGTTATGCTGAATGTTTACTGCAGAAAGCAGCCTTGACATTTGTACAGGTAAATATAGTGTATAGTTTGTGTATATATTGCCAATCTATTAGAATATAGGACTTTAAAAACAAAATTTTCTTTGGTATCTTGCTATTGCCTTTCTGAGGCAAGACATTCAGATACAAGTATGAATTTATTAATATTAAGACATGGAGAAAGATTAGAATTTCAGTAGTGAAAGCAGTTTGCATTTACTTTTAAAAGCTAAAGTAGGATTTGTGAATCTCAGTGAAGTCATCTGGCAAATTATCTTCAGCACGCACTTTTTTCTTATCCATGAGATTCTTCCATCAAATATTACAGAAATTTGGAAGCCATAAATTCTGTATGCATACTATAATGTTCAGAAATATTGTTGCCCAAATGTCTTATATGGAATTATCACTTGCTTCTATACAAGATTGTCTTGCCAGTTTCTACAGCGTTAGATGTGACTGTGTTCTTTTTGAGATGTTCTCACCTGAAACACATCCTGCTTCATAGACAGACATTATCAATTTCTTCCTTGTTTGCTCGTGCTTTGGAACCAACCTGTTTGCTTTTCTCCTGTGCTAAAAAAACACCATGCTACATTATAGATACAGTAATGACTCTTGCCATTCTGTTTCCTGTAATGATAGATGGAAAGCCTTTTTACCCATCCTATAATCATGGATTCTAAATTTCAATAAAATGTTTTTCTGGCCAAATCTGACTTAGCTTCCATATTCATCCACATCTTCTGTATGTGTGTGACTTTAGGAAAAGGTGTTGGGGATTGGTTCTGCATTGGAATGCTGTTAACCAACTCCAAAATTGTGGCTCTCAGCGAAGAAATAACATTCTGATTTTGAATATAAATCCTATTTATACAGTTGATTAATATTCTGTCTTTGCTGGTGAACTTTGCTATCCTACATACACAATTATATAGAAGTTTGATAGTGAGATTTACTCCTTAGGTTGCAAAAATCAGCTTGCAAGAGGGCACTCTTTATCAGATCAGATATGGCTCTGATAAAAAAACTAATAAGTAAGGAAGAACTTACAGTACAATCAAGCAATAAAGCTAAAGATATTCTTTGCCTGTTATGTATTGAAATATCAGATCTTGCTAAACAGGCTGCTTAGAACATGTTGAATCTGGCAACTTGGTTGTTATTCAAATGATACTTATTTGATAGGAGTGAGAAATGTGTCTGAAAGCCAGAATTTCTACAATTAAGCCCTCTCTCTTAATCTTCAGTAAATATATATGCAGGATCATCCTTGTAAACTGTCAAAGAACTCAGTAAATAGTAAAATAATTGTTCATGATTATACTCTATTGAAGCTTTTGTGCAATCCTTGTATTCATAGAACTGAAGTATGTGTTCAGAGTCAGAATCTTTTATCATTAAATATTTATCAAATGTTTTATCAAATTCATATTTAGGAATATCTTAAAAATCAACAGTACAGCCTATTAAAAATAAGTAGGGTTGTACTTCAGTACAAGTACAAGTACTTCAGTACAAGTACAACTACATTACAAGCTTAACGTGGTTCCTATATTTTCAAGATGAGCATATTTGATATAAACTATTAGTTATTAACTAATTATGAATCATATTGCATAATACCATTCATATACTAAAACTGGAATCATACAGAAATTGTACCTTTTGTGTAAAGATAACAAGTGGAAATTGCTGAAGAATTCTGTTTACTAATCAAAAGATTCTGGAAATGCCAAGCTTTGTTGTCCATAATGTTGTTACTGTAACTAATATTACAGTTCTTGTTATTTTTATTATCATTTACTTTTAGCACCATCTAGTGTTATCATATGTTACTTCAATTTGTTCCATAATGTTTTGTTTCTCAGTGATTTCTTTAATGAAGTCTCTTGGTTAAGAATAGCTTTCACATTCTTCTATATATATTTAGAAGTGTGTGTGTGTGTGAACATTTAATTTTTAAAGCTATTTTCAAAATATACATTTTATAGTGTTTATTCATTTTAAAAATCCATGAGTATGATGTATACAGCTGTACTATTTTATTCATTATTTAATTTAAAGTGTATTTTTCTTCCAGGATGAAAATATGATCAATTTCATCAAAGGTGGCTTGAAAATCAGAACAAGTTATCAAATATATAAGTACGCTCATATAGTATTTCACTTTGGCTGTGTATTATGTCTATTCGTGTTTTATGTTTCAGTAAATTAATTCCCCATCGTAGCTTGAAATAGTGGGGGGAAATTTCCTGGATTAAAATTTTTTTTTACAATTCTATCATTTTGGCAGTGATTTCAGTCCTGCCTTTATTTACTCCCCTCTCCTTTAAAAATTATGCCAGATGGAAGATCGAAGACAAGAATAGAATATGACTATGAATTTACAAAGATAAAGCAGAACAAAACATAAATAATAATAATAAATCTATATATATATATATTTGGATTGTTTTATATTTTCTGATACCAATGGTAATTGCTTGTGAATTACTTTCTATTGGCAAATCATTTCCATAACATTATTAAGAAAACTGCAGGGTTGCAGACACCAGGAATTAAGCTTGGCTCAGTGCCATCCTTACTGCTAGATATGCAAAAGGTTATGGTTACATCATATGCTAAGCAGGGCCACAAGATATCTAGGGTTACTTCCAATTGTGTGATTCTGCCATTTAAAATACACAGGTGATTATAGAAGACACAAAATATTGTGTTTCTATATAAAGAAATAGGATCTTTATATAAAAAAATAGTTTAAAGAAATAGGGATAGACATGGGTGAAATTAAGCAGGCATGGTGTGGATATGAATGAATCTAAAAACGGTATCAGAAATTATAAACTCCTGATTGTAATGTTTTTCCATTTCATCAAATTAGCTAGGGATTGTAGCTAATATGAGATTATAGATCTATAATATGAGATTATAGATCTTTGACAGTATTTATATGTATTTCAGTTTAAAAAAACCCTGGGATCTGATTTTAAATGAGGTTGTCAGGAATTATATAGAAAATAAGTTTATACTTACAAAAAATACCCCTTGTGAGAGCTTGTAATAGTCTTTTCCCCTTTCTTTCCCCCTTATGCCTCCTTTTTCAGATTTGTAAATTTATAAAGATACTAAGTAAGCATTTAATACACTGATATTACAATGTAAGTAGGCAAATACTGGGTGTCATTGGTCAAATTACTCTGAAATCATAGATTTTGGAATTCTAGAATAGAAAATAATGGAAATTGCTTAAATAGATGTGAATTTTTATGATAATGTTGGTGTGGCAAGTATCTGTAAATTTAAATTTAGATAAAGATGTAGGACAGGCATGCATTCCTGGGCGGTTAGTAATGTGGCCCCACAAGATATAATTAATATTTAAAAAGGAAGTTTGTTATTTATATCTATTCATTATATTATATATTTCATATTCCTGTTCACTCATTGCAATCCAACCAAGCGACACCCATGATGTAGGGTATAGCATAGTAAACTAAATCTTTGAAATAATAATAGTTAATATTATCATTGCTATTATCTAAGTTAGCATGATTTGTTTTGTTGATCAAAAGGGAATGCCTTCAGGTTCTGCAGATGGCCCAAAGCAGCAAAGTCAGGAATGAAATATTCCACCAGTTTGAAGGCGGAGTACAACTAGGAATAGGAGCTTTCAATCTGGTATGAGCATTCCTTCCAATGTGTAATCGAACTTTTGATGCATGAGCTATTTAAAACAAGTGCATTATATTGTACCTTTCAAAACATTATTGTGCTTTCATTACACCCTGTACAATTTTTAAAATAACTGTACATATGCATCTTATGATTTGTTGTTTTACTGTTTTATTTGAATACAGAACTGACTGAGGGATTTTTTATTTATTTAATTGTTTTAGATTTATATGGTTGTTCCTCTCACCATGGCTCTGGGCAGAAAACAAGTTTAAACAAAGTCTACAGTATAAAACCATTAAATTATACAATTCCCCACATACAATTAAAAAAAGAAATGCTAAGTGTAAAAAAACATAACATCAAGTCATTTGGCCTTTATTAATGTTATTTGAAGATTGTGCTGAACATTTTTAAAGCTATTATGCTATAACTTAAATATTTGTTTTTTCTGCTGTATTAAAAACAGATGGAATCTTTGTTTCTTTCCTTTTTGCAGATGCTGTCCCTTTTACCAGGAAGAATTCTTCGACTTCTTGAATTTATTGGGTTTTCAGGCAATAGGGTATTACATTTGTTATGAATTTTTAAAACAGTTTACGAGCTCTGCTTGTCAGGACAGGAATAAATAATTGATGCATCTGGATCATCTTCAGATTTCATTGACTATCTGATTATAGGGATATGAGATGTAGGTGACACAAAGTATTTAAATCTTTAGTTTTAAAATCTTCAATATTTTTATTACTATTGCTTTTAATAAAGCAGATTTTACAAATAATGGGATATAATTGCTGTCACCAACTGCTAACAAAATTGTTCTATTAACAGAACTTACCCTTTGACTGGTTTCTTTGTTTACTTTCTCTCCTTTCTTCAGTGAACAATGTATATATTTCCTCTCTGTCTCCTGTCTATAGCCTTGTCAGAATGGGACAATTTGCCACAAGCAAACTTGCCATTGGCAACTTGCCATGGCCAACTCACCACAGCCAATTTGCCGCAGAACAACTCACTGCAGGACAATTTAACAATTCAATTTAGTTATTCAATATAAAATAAAAACTTTTTAAATTTTTGTCATTTACATTTCATTCTGTCCCTCCTTTTGCATCCTTAAATGTTTCAATTCCACCATTCCTTTGATACTAGTGACAAGTTGGATGTAGTGAGTTCGCCATGGTGAGTTGGCTATGGCAAGTCGGCCATGGTAAATTGTCATAGACTTAGCCCTGTGCCTGAAAGTGGAGAGAAAACAATGGTGCACCCCACATTGACCCCACCTCTCTCCTGGGAATGAGGTGTGAAGGCTTGAGGGGGGCCTTTACGTGCATTCACTTGAACACAAAAATAGTTGCATTTTGATCCATGACCCTTTTTTATTTATGTTGTGGATCACATAGAGCAGGGCTGTCAAACTCCTGGTCCGTGGGCTGGATGCATCACGCGCTGGTCATGCCCATGCCCGGCTAAGCAAAGGGGAAAAAGGTCCTGATATGTTATGTAATGCCACCGTGACGATGCGAGTTTGACACCCCTGCTCTACATGATCGACAACCTAAATAAAACAGGGTCATGGATCAAATAATATTCAGTACATTGAATAATCCATAAGACATACATCACTTCACTTGCAAATGATACTGACATAGTTGGAATTCTACCTTGCTGTTCTGCCCCAACTACGGATCCCAAAGAACGCAGCACACACAAAGTCTGTACAAACCTTAGTTACTAAATTTGATCAGTCTTTTTCAGATAAAGGCTGTTAATTAACTTTCTTAACAGCCTACAAGAATCCAAAGAATAAATAATCGTAATCTTACTATGGTTGGCATAAAGCTCAGAAGCAATTTGCAGGAAACTGATAAGAGAACTAAGATCAGGACGCGAAGGAGAATGAATGAAGTTGTTCCCTGCAAATTGCCTCAGTCGTCGTCCTTCCTTAAATAGGCTAAGGGAGTGGCCAATTAGCCCCAAGCCGTACTCTTGAGGAGACCTCCTCCTGAGGAACCAGTCCTGCCTTTTGGCAGCTCTGCGCACCTGTGCATCGAGAAGAGGCTCCTCCTCTTCTTCCTCTTCACTTATGGGAGCTTCTGGAGGTTCTGAAGGCCCTGGCTGAATCCCCGCCTCTGGCACCACATCTTCTCCAGCCTCCTCATTGTCTGACTTGAGTGCCAGCTGCATAGGCTGCTGGCACAGCACCACACCAGCCTCCTCGCTGTCGGAATCAGCTACTAGCTGCACAGGCTGCTGACGGGCCACAACACTTGCTGCTGTGTTCATACAAGTTTCTTTTTTGTGTTTTCTTGAAATAACTAGCATTCATAAAAATGATAGACTATTGTGACTTATATTGTACAATTTTGTGGCTGTTGACAGGAACATGGTCTCCATCAGTTACGGGAAGGAGCTTCTGGTCCCAGTTTACGAGCAATACTGTGCACTTTTACCTTATTGCTATATCACACCTTTGTTTCATTAATCCTTGGTAAGAATTAAAAATGAATACATAGGTGAAAAATAATTTAGTATATCACAAATTCTAATATAATTCCTAGTATTTATTTGTTTTGTTTGTATTTTCAGCAACACTAGTGGCTAGGTTTACAGTATAGAATGAAATTAAGTTAATAAATTAGTTAACATTAGTGACGGTTGTGCTAACCCAATTAACTATAATCTTGATGAAAGAAAGAAGGGAACAAATTGTTTTACATAGGATGAAAAGTGCCTGCTCCCGTGTTTTTTGCTATTAACATTTGATAGAAGTCTGTCTGTAGCACATCTTTGGAGGGAAATAAGAATGACAAAGCAAAGAAATCATTTATTTATTTATTTATTTATAATTAAAATGTAGGATTCTTATAAACAATAGCGTGATGGGATTTTGGAATTAGGCATGTCAATTTGAATCATCTTGATGCCTTTCAATTCAAAGCATTTATGTTATTAGGAATTTAAATAACATTCAGAGAATGCAAATTAAATTAGCCCTGAACTACCTATGGTAATATTAAGAAATGAATATCTAATGTATCAAATGAATATCTAATTCTTATTTAACATTTGCTTCAGATGTTTGGAAAAATTAGATATAGTTTTTGGTTTCTGATCTTTTTTATTCACACACTTTTTGAAGATAAAGCAGTTCCATCAGCACACAGAATGGGAGATGAGATTTTTATAGAATTGGATACCTAAATAATGATTAAAACTCCATTACTACTGAAGTTATTTTGATAAAGAATAGGTTAAAAGCTACAACTTAATTTTAAAGGAGTTCAATCATTCTTTCATAAATTATCTAGCTCTCATCAGGGAAGAGACTGTATTTCTGTATTTAAAAGCCATCTTACATTAAAAAAAAACAGGTTCTTTTGAAATTATAGATCTGAATTAAAATTTCTTTGAAACATTGCATATAATTCTTATAAACTGAATATTATTTATTTTAGATTTAGTTAAATCTGGTCATTTATTAACTATATTAACAGTTTTTCTAATTGATCATCTTTCTACATAAATGTTGATTCTGGATAGAAAAACAATACTTTTGCTTTGAGAAAGTGAGAGTCATTTCCTTTTGGCTTTATTCCTACTTCATCTTTCGTTTTAACTATGGTCCTGATACTTCATTTCGTTAAAAAAGCAAGAGGAAAAAAACCCATATTTAAAAATGTTTTCTTTTTTAAAAAAACCACTAATGTTTGATAGTATCTTTTAGTGTTATGTTTCACTGTGAATGTCTTCCTCTACTACAAGTTGTCCTCAACTCACAACCACAATTGAGCCAACATTTTTGTTACTAAGTGAGACATTTGTTAAGTGAGTTTTGCCCCATTTTACGACCTTTTCTGACACCATTATTAAGTGAATCATTGCAGTTGTTATGTTAGTAACAGTTAGTTGGTTATGGTTGTTAAGTGGATCTGGCTTCCCCATTGTCTTTGCTTCTCAGAAAGTCACAAAAGCTGATCGCATGACCTCAGGACACTGTAACTGTCATAAATACATGTTAGTTGCCAAGCATCCAAAGTTTGATCATGTGACCATGGGGATGCTGCAACTGTCATAAGTATGAAAAATGGTCATAAGTCACTTTTTTCAGTGCTGAAGTAACTTTGAATGGTCACTAAAAGGTTATAAGTTGAGGACTACCTGTACTATGACAACTTTTATTACATTTCATTAACATAGATTTTCTTCTAATATTGTTTTCTAATAATACTATATATTAATTGTATTGTTTTCTAATAATACTATATATTAATTAGCTTGTATGAATCAATATATTATATTGTTATCAATACTGAGAGAGGATGTTGATATTTCTACAGGAACAGGGGAAGCCAATCTCCTTGAAGCAGAGGCTCTCCTTCAACCTTATCTTCAGAAGTTCCCAAAGGTTTTATGATTTCACATTGTTAAGTATTTTTAACTGTGGTTAACACTTCTACCTTACTAACAAAGTTGCAATCTTTTTCAAGGGTGCCCTCATTCTGTTTTACGATGCCAGAATCAACATATTGAAAGGAAATTTTGAAAAGGTAACAGCAGATTGCCCCCTTTTAAAATTAAAACTGAAGTTCTGTATTAGTTATAGGAAAATCTTGCTCACAAGCTTAAAAAAAATCAAAGCAGGGAAAAAATGGAGGAGAAAAAGAAAACTTGAACACTGTTTGATAAAATGCTCATAATGATCAAGTTCAGTAATGACATTTGAGAATGGAAAGAGCCCTCCAAAAAACCCAAGAACCCCCCAAACAGCTGTTACTCCACCAAGTTAGGGAATATCAATAGCAATTGTAAGGTTTACTTTCATAAAAAGTAAGTCCTCATATTTTCAGTTTTTCATGTGAGATGGCAAACCCTCATAAAACTTTAACCTACGTAAGAATCAAATATATCGATTGTTTCCTTGCTAAATCTGATCATTGTTATATAGCCGTCTTAAAACATTTAGACAGGCTTATTTAATTGGCAATTAATGTCCATTCCACATTCCACACATAACACCAAATTGCAGTTGTTTGCTTGAATATTCTAAATAATGAACTATAAAATTCATGATATTCTTTATATCTATCTTTTTATATAAAATGAAAATAAAAGGCTATAATTTGAATGAGAAGTTTTCTTTTATATGGTTTGACTTTTCTCTCCCTTTAAATTCCAGGCTGAGGTAACATTCCAGGATTGCGTTGCAGCTCAGCAAGAGTGGAAACAGATCCATCATCTCTGCTACTGGGAACTGATGTGGTGTTACTCCTTCCAGCAGAACTGGCTTCAAGCATATCGGTATGCAGATCTGCTTTGCAAAGAAAGCAGGTGGTCAAAGGTAAATGGGTAACCCAGTACTGTTGTGAAGTGGTGAGAACACTTCATGCTTACACAGTATGCAATCATAAAAGCCTCCCTGGGTTAAATACTCAAATGCCATTTAGCTCAACATTGATTTAAAGGAAATCGTTAATTGTAACTGATTTTTAGAACTGGGAAATTGGCAAAGTGAAAATTATAGTAACAACCACTGTGAAAAAAATGCTTTGCTAGACCATTCTGTAACACATTCCACATTTATGATTTTTTTTCCAGTAAGATGGCCCCTTGCTTTTCCTATAACCTCATTCACATTGACAAAAACGGCATCTTAAATATGGGCATTTCTAATAAGTCACAATTATGTCAAAACAATTTATTACTTATGTCATCAGGCAAGTAACACAATTATGTACATGATGTCTGATGCAAGTAGATAATTAGAGACGCTAGTGGTGTCATGAATCTGTGTCATCTACTTTTGCTCACTACAGACACCTGTGCTTTGTGTAAGGCAAAACTTTGATGGTAATTTTAATGGAACAATAATTTGGCTTAATACCTCTGTGATCATAGTGTGTACAAGGAAACAACTGTGATCAGATATGTTGTAAGAAACTATATATTGAATATTTTTATTCTATTTTGCCTAGGCAATATATGTGTTCCAGAAAGCTGCCATTTTGTGTATGCTTCCTGAAGCTGATGTGAAAACAACAGGAGAAGATATTGTAGCTTTGTTTCGGTAATACTTTTCAAAAGAAAAGAATTTATTTAAAGCTTGATCTTTTAAGCTATATATCTTGAAAATTTCATGTTTTTTTGCCTACTATCATTGCCTTACTCATCTGAGAAAGATTGTTTTCATTTATAACCTTATGGTTTGTGGGGTGGTGGTGAATCCTTTCCTAGGGATTTGCTATAGAGTTTCTTCTGCCACTTGAATTTATATTCTGAAATGGATGATGGCATATAAAATAAATTCTAGACATAAGTATGTCCTACCCTTAGTTAAAAAAAAGTTTCAGCCATTCAGCCAACCAGTATCTTATCTTGATTATCTAGGGATAATAGTTTTCACATCCGAAGTGAGAAATCTGCTGATCTGGCATGAGACATTTTTGGGGAATCCATATTGCACCTAAAACTGCACAAAAACTAAAATAAAGTTTTTGCTCCATTTTGCTAGAAAGTTCCTGACTTAACTTTTAAGATTTGGAAAATTAGCTTCATAGATTAAAATACTTGGACTTTTTTGCATCAATTTTTTGTCATTCCATTAATCAAATTCCATACTTTGGCCCTTACAAAGTACTGTCTGTCGTACTGTTGATACAGTTGCATGTGATTCAATACGATTTGCTGCATTTGAAAACATATAAACATGAGACATCTTAGGAACCTCTGTTCTTTCCTTGTATGTGGTTTATTAGTTGGAATGCTTTCATAACAATCTTGTTATTGTTTTCTTTTCCAAATATATGGAAAAAGGATCCTAAAAAAGGATTTAACATTTTTTACATTGTAACTTTGCAAATACATTTTTAGATTTACTACTGTGGAAGCATTTTGTCAAGCATGCTTGAAAAGCTTTCTGTCTACAAGACAATAAGCCAAATGTTGTTCACAAACCTTTATTACTAGGATCTACATGAATGATTTCAACTTACTGCTGGAAAGCCTTCACCTAACTATCAGATTAGATTGATCATTTTGATCCTTTTTCCTTTCCAGTGATAATTTCTTTTATTCTTGATCTCCTGTCTCTTTCATCGCTTTCTTGCAGATTTTTGAGATGAAGTTCCCTTTAGTATTTAGCACTCATTTTCATTTTCTGTACCTGTACCTGTACCTCACTATAGCTATATGTTCTATAGTGAGGTTTTCCTACCTAGAGATACCATGATTATGAAATTCTGCTAGGGTTGGGACTGATTCTTTAGATCAACTTGGCAACTTGAAGATGTATGGTCTTCAACTCCCAGAATTCTCTCAGAACATGTTGGGTGGGGAATTCTGGGAGTTGTCCACATGTCTTAAGTTACCAAGGATAAGAAACTCTGCTTTACATTTTTCTGTACCTTTTAAAGACTTATCTGTTTATCCAAAGTTTCATTTGATCTATGTTGATGTGTTTAATGTACTTTCATCATTTTAATTTGCTATAATTTTCTATGATACTCTTCCATTTTTATTTCTAAAAATACACAGCAAGTAATAAATATTATAAATTAAAACTAAAATACCTCTCTAGGCTTTATTATACAGTAGAACTTACTATAGGTTTGGGGATTGCTGAAATAGAATCAGTAAAGCAAAAGTCAACAATATGAGCTTTTCATGTCTAAAGAAAGTACTGTTTTTCCTCTTATAGGCAAGTAGAAGGCCTAAAGCAAAGAATTGCAGGAAAATCTATCCCAACTGAAAAGTTTGCTGTGAGAAAAGCACGACGCTATGGGACCTCTCCTCCTGTGAAACTAATAGTGCCTGCTCTGGTATTTACAGCAGTTACTTCAATCATCTTTTGAGTGACAGAGTAAATATGTGTTTGTGTGTATGTATTCTTGTACATAACCAAGAAAAATTAGATTCCCAGTTGGCTTTATCATGGAAAGCCTAATTTATTTATTAGATAAAGCACAGAAGAAACCTATCTATTGACATTTCCTAAATATTGTAAGATAAACTTACAAATGTGTGATTTTATCCGGAACTTATATATCAATGTATTGTAGCTTGTCATGTGAGTTATAATATTTCCAACTCTTGACAGGCGAGATGCTGAACATAAATTATTAGCAAATTGTGCAGAATATATATTCTAATTAATAATGTAATATGTCTGCCAAGATCATTCTCTAAAACTTTGGAGATACATAGATACAGGATCTATCCAGTTTCAGTCTTTGTTATGAGCCAAGTTACATAATAAATATTAAAGGCATCTATAATTTATAGGCTGCTACAATTATAATCAATGTGATCCTCTTTATAAAATATTTTATTTAATATTTCATAAATATGGATTCATGCTGCAAGTAAGTTATATGAGTATTTGTATACTTACATTTTTTCCAGTTTCCAAACACGAAGAGGTTCAAGAGGGCAAATACAAAAATTAAAATCTGGCATTTTTACTGAAAAAGTATTGATTTTTAATTTGCAATTTTTCATGAAGTGTATCATCTTAATATCTGCTTCCTTTATTTTAATAATTGCTTTTTAGCTAGATTCAGAGAATACATTTATTACATTTTATAGTTCTACTATTAAATTACACTGAAAGAAATGTTAATGCTAAATGCTAAACATCTAGCTTTATTCAGAAGTAAATAGATAACATTGTAAATAAGTACTTTTCATTCAATGATTACTTTTTCTTAGGAAATGATGTATGTCTGGAGTGGGTTTTCAGTTCTTGGAAAGAGAGCTGACTTCACTGAAAATATGCTAATAACTATTGAAAAAGAAGAAACACTTTTAAAAAATGAAACCCGTGAGTTTTACTTTGATTTATAAGATACAAATTACAAAACAAATGTAACTGAGTATTTTTAAATATTCAATGAAGAAAAGACACATTTGCAGGCCTCTGAATTTAATAAAAATATATTTTATTTATTGGATGCCATAATAAATACCTGTTCTTTTCATACACTCCCAATTCTGATGAATCCAGAGAAACTCACATTGATAAATCCTATCTTTACACTTTGCTCGTGCTTGATAATGTTAAGGCAAGGGTCATATTTTTATACACACATACACTCACATGCACAAAAATTTTATTTAGAAATATTAATAAGCTCAGTTTTCCATATTCTAGGAAAAATCTTCTTGTTAACTATACTTTTCATTCTTTCAAAAGTTATATAGTCTTAAGTTGGTTGGCAGTAAATATGAAACAAGAGCAAGATTTTGTTGTGACAATAGATGTTGGTTGATCCTGGCTGGTGTGGATTTTAAAATTTTAAAATTTTAAAAATGCAGTAACTAAGGGTTAGAGAACTCTTGTTGTAAATAATAATAAAAAAGATCCTCTGAGTATAACAGAAATATGGTTTTCAAAGCAAGACTGTTGATGCATTTTGCTTTAACCTTCTATTAGAGGTAGCAAATGCAATAAAAATATTATGCAGGGAGATCCTCTATCAACTAAACTATCACATATTTCAAGGCTATATAAATACTAAATAATATTTCAAATATTCATCTTTTTAAACATAGCAATTAATAGACCTATTTTCATGATTTCTCACATGTTTAATACTGTGTCTGTTTCTGGAGCTATCATTTTGACCAATAATTGAATATGAATTAAGGAAGGGAAGTGGGAGAATGGTAGAGGATATGCTTATTTTGGAACATTTCAGTATTAAGATATACTTTATAGATATTCTGCTTTATACTGGAATTGAATATTCCTAAACAAGATTTTTATTAATTTTGTTACTATATATAATACTTATTAAAAATTAGATTTAAAAATAAATATAAAAACTTTTAATTATGGTATTTGACAATTGGTTGTATTCACAACTTTCATTATAATAGCTGTAATTTTAAACTCACTTATGTTTAATTTTCAGATCACACTGAATATTACATGGATGATGTATGTTTGCTACAACTACTAAAAGGATTGTGTTTGAAGCATTTAGGAAGACTCTTGCAAGCAGAACTCTGTTTCAGCCAAGTTATTCAAAGGTAAATATTGGGAACAGAATTTTAAGATGCAATAATATTCAGCAACACAGAGAAAATTCATTTGAATATTTCAATTAAAGCCATTAGAACATAGCATTTAAGAGACATATTTGTGTCTTTCCCTAAGTTAGTGTCTGGCTTTATTCTCCCACATTTCTTTCCCTAGCTGACAAAAGTTTCTTTCTGTGAAAGAAAAGCCAAGGGATCTGTGACATTTTCTCTTGTATTTATAGTTGTATTGGAAAATAGGAAAAAGAGACAGGAACTGTTCAGGCACATATTTGGAATGCTCGCTTACCCTTCTGCCTCTTTTATATATTTAACTATAAATGGAATTTCATCCAGATGGACTTTCGTCCATCATTAGGTGCAAAGCTTCTTGGTGTCTTTAAGATGCTGAGGCTGCCATTGACACACAGGGAAAAAAAACTTCAGCAGTGAGTCCATGATACTATCCCATATTCATCAGGTCAAGTCATCTAACCACTGCCTGCCTGGATAATAATTATCACCTGTACCGGTAGTTTATGGATAGTACACATGTGAGTTGCTTAGAGTTTATTTATGTATTTAGTTAGCCGGTTAACATTTTTTATGCCACCCAACTACCAGTAACTTGTAGTTCCCCCAAAAAAAAATTTGCTTTCTTTTCTGACAAAATTCCTGTCCAACTGGGCAGTTGAAAGTTTTCCCTGCATAGATAAAACTTCACCAGCCAAATGGATCATGAAACTTCTGCAGGTGCAGATATCCTTCTTTTCAGCTGTCCATGTTGGTTGCCTTCTATTGGAATTTAAAACTATTCTACCAAAGTACATAAACATGGTTTAAGCCATAAGGTAATTTTAACAGGTAATTTTATATATATATTCAAAGAGGAATTATTGCCCTTAAGAATGATATGTCTATTGCATTTTAGTGAGAAGCAATTAAAGTATGATACCTATTTAGCTCCATATTCAACGTATGAGTTGGGTCTTCTATATAAACAACAGAATGAAAGAGAAAAAGCTGTAAGATTTATAGAAGCTGCAAAGTAAGTAGTAATTATTTTATACAACTATAATCAATAAATATATAAAATATATTGATTTCAGCTTGCTTAAATACTTTAACATAGTTAAGATACATATATTCTGTTACTGCATCCAAAGAACAAGTTTGGTTCAAGATATCTTGCTGAGTGAAAAAAAAAACAGGAAACATTTATATACTTACTTCTTAACACAAGAGATCAAACTATATTTCCAAATGATTAAGCTACTTCCACATTAGAGAGGAAGGTTGCACAAATGCCAAAAGAATAAAAGTTGTTGCAGGAGCCAGATGGGGAAAAAAGCTGAAGAACACACACTCTGAATTGAAAATAGGAGAATTGAAAGGTTTCTTCTAGAAGATCTTGTAAACTAAAATGACCATCTGATTACTAGAAAAATTAAAACTTCTGTATTTGAGAATAAAAATTAAGGTGGGATTTCTGTATTTGAGCAGGAACTAATAGTGAACGTTGGATAATGAGTGTATCTGGATTAGGACAGGGCATAGTCTAGAACAGTGTTCCACAACCTTGCCAACTTTAAGATGGGTGGACTTCAAGTCTCAGCATTCTCCAGCCAGCAGCATGCTTAAAATTTAAAAGATATAGATAGTTGTTGATTTATAACAGTTCGTTTAGCTGTTCAAAGTTACAACAACACTGAAAAAATTGACTTATGACCACTTTTCACATTTATGACCATTGGAGTAACCCTATGGTTATGTGATTTACATTCGGATGCTTGACAACTGGTTCATATTTTGTGACAGTTGCAATGTCCCAGGGTCTTGTGATCCCTTTTGTGACTTTCTGACAAGCAAAGTCAAAAGGAAAGCCAGGTTCACTGTTCACTGTGTAATTGAACAACTGCAGTGATTCACTTAACAAATGTAGCAAGAAAAATCATAAAATGGGGCAAAACTCACTTAACAAATTTCTCACTTAAATTTTGAGCTCAATTGTGGTCGTAAGTCGAGGACTACCTGGAAAATATTTCTACACAAATGTCTCTCTTTGATTTTATTGGACTGGTTGGGGCATGGCAAATGACCAAGTAAACTGAATGTTCTTTTGTAGAAACAATTACAAGGAATATTCCATGGAATCCAGATTACATTTCAGAATCCATGCAGCACTTAGCAGTATGAAAGTGACTCCTGCTCCAACACCATGATGCCTTCTGAAGTTGATGTCTAACATGTCTGTACAAGTTAATGTTTGAAAGCCTACAAAAATCATGTAAATGATGTAACAAAAAATGTAGTTTATATTTTCTATCATTTGTGATAATTGAATGTCTGCCTCATCATTGTGAATGCTTCTTTTTTCTATGGTTCACTTCCATATTTCTGCTTAACATTTTAGAGGAAACCTATTTTATTTATAGAAAGATTAATGCGTGAAACAATAGGGGAATATTAAAAATTGCTGGTACAATAAAGAGTAATCCAAACAATTTATTTTTTTATGGAAATACTAATATTGTTTATGTATGAAACTGTACGATACATTTGGTAATAGTTTCAGCATTGCATAAAGGCTTGTATTTCTGCAATACCTTTATTATGTGATAGGATTTAAAAAATTGGCTGCTGGTAGCCCTAGATGCTGTATCTGGATTTGAAGCTTAGTTTTACATACCAAAGACCAAATTACCATACTGTAGCCAAAATAATGCTTCAAGTCATTTCATGAATGTTAGCTTGCATTCAGTGCAATATCCTGACCAAATCTCTAAAAATAGTTAGGAAAGGACTTTGAGCTTTCTTTGATAACCTAGGAGTGTTTTTAAAATATAGGAAGAAAATATTTCTCAGTGAAAAGGGTTATAGTAAAGCAAAAACCAAACAATAGAAATGTTTCAGTTTTTTGTTCCATTATATCTATTTAATTCAGCAACCTTACAAGGAATTCACTATAAAAATATGCAGCTAATGTTCTGAAGATTATGCCCCCTTATTAACACTGGAGGTCAGCAGGTTTCATTCTATTTTCTTCCATATATTGTAGCAAAATTCTCAAATTCCAATTTCATATTTCTTACGGAATTGGTATCCGTAATGTTTATTTAGCATATTATCTTGATCAGATTTTTAAAAATGTTTTAACTATGTAATTAAATATTTTTATTCTCCATCTTAATCTCTTATTAATGTATATGTGTTACTTTGCAGTAATTTATGTCAAAGAGCCTGCAGGCAAATGACCATGTTTGAGGGCTTATAAATGTTACCTGTCCAGGTTTAGTATTTTCCCATAGGAATAAAAATGTGACTAATCAAGAATGTCTATGTAATGACCGTAACTGTCTATGAAAGATATTTATTGGTTTCATACATACTACAGTAGTGGCCAAAATTGTGGAAACCTTTTGGGAAAAGTGTATTTTCTAAAACTAGCTAATAACACCACTTTTTTTTTGGAGTAGTACCATAAAATTATATATCAATGGAAAGATAATTTAGAATAGAATAGAACAGAACAGAACAGAACAGAACAGAACAGAACAGAATAACAGAGTTGGAAGGGACCTTGGAGGTCTTCTAGTCCAACCCCCTGCCCAGGCAGGAAACCCTACACCACTTTAGACAAATGGTTATCCAACATCTTCTTAAAAATTTCCAGTGTTGGGGCATTCACAGCTTCTGCAGGCAAGTTGTTCCACTTATTAATTGTTCTAACTGTCAGGAAATTTCTCCTTAGTTCTAAATTGCTTCTCTCCTTGATTAGTTTCCACCCATTGCTTCTTGTTCTACCCTCAGGTGCTTTGAAGAATAGTTTGACTCCCTCTTCTTTGTGGCAACCCCTGAGATATTGGAACACTGCTATCATATCTCCCCTAGTCCTTCTCTTCATTAAACTAAACATACCCAGTTCCTGCAACTGTTCTTCATATGTTTTAGCCTTTAATCCCCTAATCATCTTTGTTGCTCTTCTCTGCACTCCTTCTAGAGTCTCAACATCTTTTTTACATCGTAGCGACCAAAACTGAATGCAATATTCCAAGTGTGGCCTTACCAAGGTATTATAAAGTGGTATTAACACTTCACGTGATCTTGATTATATCCTTCTGTTTATGCAGCCCAGAACTGTGTTGGCTTTTTTGGCAGCTGCTGCACACTGCTTGCTCATATCTAAATGGTTGTCCACTAGGACTCCAAGATCCCTCTCACAGTTACCACTATTGAGCAAGGTACCACATATACGGTACCTGTGCATTTTGTTTTTCTTCCCTAAATGTAGAACCTTGCTTTTTTCACTGTTGAATTTCATTTTGTTAGATAGCACCCAATGTTCAAGTCTGTCAAGATCTTTCTGTATCTTGAGCCTATCTTCTGAAGTGTTGGCTAATCCTGTCAGCTTGGTGTCATCTGCAAATTTGATGAGTTCCCCATCTATCCCCTCGTCCAAGTCATTGATGAAGATGTTGAAGAGCACTGGGCCTAAAACAGAGCCCTGGGGTACTCCACTGCATACTTCCTTCCATGTAGATGCAGTTCCATTGAGGACTGTTCAGCCAGTTACGAATCCATTGGTGGTTATGCTGTCTAACCCACATTTTTCTACTTTATCTAGCAGTAGGTTATGGTATACTTTATAAAATGTTTTACTGAAGTCCAAGTAAATTATATCGACAGCATTCCTCTGGTCCACTGATTTTGTCACTTTGTCAAAGAATGCAATAAGATTATTCTGGCATGATCTATTTTTGACAAACCCATGTTGGCTTTTGGTTACTAATTTAATCAATTAATCAAGAATGTAATGCAATAAAAGAAGAAAAGTGAAACACATAGAAAAAATGAGATATACAAAAATTATCACATCAGTTAATACTTAGTTGGGTAATCTTTAGCATGAATTACGGTCTTACAACGTTTTTCCATGGAGTGAACCAAGTCTTTTAGTTCTGCAGCTATTATAATATGAAACCAAGATTGAATAATTGTTTCTATTAACTGGGTTTTATTTCTGGGTCGCTTCTGACTAACAAGTTTCTTTAGTTGGCTCCATAGATTTTCAATTGGGTTAAGATCTGGGCCATTCCCAGACCGTTCCGGCAGTGGAATATGATTATCTTGAAACTCCCAAAAAAGTGGTGTTAGCCATCAAACCTCAAAAATACAGTTTTCCCGAAACGTTTCCACAATTTTGGCCACTACTGTATAGCTGTTTGAGTTTAGTTTTATTTCTTGTCTTGGTCTTTCTGTATTTAAATTATTTTATCAGCTGCTAAACAAATTGAAAAGCTGGGCTTTTAGAGTTTTTTTAATTGTCAAAACTGATGGACATGCACAGAGTCCATGTTCATAAGCAGCTAGTATAGGAACACAAGGATAATTTCTTCTAGATTTTTTAACCTGAGTTCTTATATGAATGGGTTTTTCCCCAATTGCAATTCCTCATTGCAATTGACATTTTGCTTTTTTTTTTTTAACTATACTTTATTCTGCAAGATCTTTTCCGCATCTATTCTTTTACTCAGTTTTAAACACCTTCCAGTTTGAAGAAAAGCACACTTTCTATATAATTTTCCTACATGCTTAAACTAGTTAAGAAAAGAACTAATGGTAAAACCAATTTATCTGAGCACATGTGGCTTTTATACTTTTAATCTGTGTGACACAATGCATGGTTAATACATTATTTCAACTGATTACAAATTTAAGTATTTAAAAAGAGATTTAATTATTTCTTGCCTAGGGACCTTTCATACGTAAAAAGTACGTATGAAACGATGAAAAGTATTCTTCATTTATCGTAATAAATTGCCACTCTTGTGTATGTTTCTTTGTCCAGAGTTTCCCATCCAGAACTCTGTGAGTGTCACTAGGTTACTTATTACATTCTGTTAGAAAAGAACATTGTAAAAATGTAATCATTTCTAGATTTTAAGAACTGAATGTTAAACATAGGGATACAGTTAGGCTTAAATCTGTTTTCCTCCAATTTATAGTTTTGCATTAAAATATTACAACTATTCTATGGTTATAATCTCTATATTAACACTAATTCTTTTAGTGTTAATGTTGCTTAGATATCCACATTCTGCATTGCACGTTTAGTAAGAGCTAATTGTTTCCACCTTTTGATAGAACCTTTAGGAAGACATTACATATTTTTATATAAGAAGTTACAAAAAGATTTTGTTTGTGTAAGTTATAGTGGCAGTGGTTCCCATTTGACTTGCACTATTATCGAAGCCAGGAAATAATATATTAAATAGATTTAGAAATTTTGCTAATTGCAGCAAAACAGTCCAGCTTCTATCAAATTAATAATTCATGCTCTGGAACTGATTTTAATATTCATCTACTGTGGATGTAATTGACTGCTATTTTTCTTGTCTTGTTTGCACTGTATTTTGTAAAGCTGTCTCAAATTAGTTTTAAAAATTGAATAAACTAAAATGTAAGCTACGTTTACTTGGAAACAAAGCTATTTTGGTTAAGCAGAGCTTAGTTTTAAGTAAGAACACATAGAATTTAATGTTGATTGCAGTATAGCACAAGAATTGCAGTGGTGTTATTGAGCAGAATTTGAAGAGAAATTATATCTAATCCTTCATGTGAGTTGTTAAAGTTTTGTTATCCTGCCTTTCCGTGATAGGCAACAAAATAAACATGTATTTAAATAATTCTACAGAGATAAGCGTTTCCATGACAAAATAGGTTGCACATTCAATTGCAAGAAAATTGCCAAAGTATTTTTAGGAATGTGATGGTATATTGAAATTATAAATAAATAAAAATTCTCAACAAGAGCTTTCACACATTGCTTTGCTTCTCTCTCCTGAATACCTGCATATGGAGCCCATAGAACATCTGATAACAAACAAGAACTGTTCAAACTGGTGTTTTTTTTCTCACAGTTTATAGCATTTTAACAATATTTAGTAAGCAGTAACATTGCTAAAACCTATGATGCACGTTAAGGCTGTCCTCCTTAATGACAGGATAAAACCTGAACCAAACAGAACTAATAGTCCTAGGCAGCCAAACTACTACAGGCAGATCTCAATTTACAACCACAATTGAGCCCAAAATTTCTGTTGCTGTGAGACAATGTTTAAGTGAATTTTGCCCCATTTTACAATTTTTCTTGCCACAGTTAAGTGAATCACTGTAGTTATTAAATTAATAAGACAGTTAAGTGAACTTGGCTGCCCATTGACTTTACTTGTCAAAAAGTTGCAAAAGGTGATCACATGACCACAGGATATTGCAACTGTCATAAATATGAGTCAGTTGACAAGCATCTGAATTTTGATCACATGTCAGTGTTGTAGCAATTGTAAGTCACTTTTTTCAGTGATGTTATAACTTTGAACAGTCAGTAAAACATTTTGTCTTCATAAAATGCTGCCCAAAGGAAACATTTGCTTAAGGATCATGTATTATACAAGCCATACAGCACTTCAGATTCCAAAGAAATGGTGCTTCAAAGCATTTTGGTATAAATCTTCTGTAGGTCAAAAATATTTCTGAATGATCATGTATTATATGATATACCATAAATGTCAGAAGCTCTCTCAATTGACATTTAGCATATAATTCTTGAGAGTTTTAAAATGCAACTTGCATTTCTAGTCTTTTCATTGTGGAAAAATTCTAAGGTCCCAGGTTTTCTCTGAACCTTAAATCTTAAGGTTGTTAAATGCAAAGCATACATGGAGTCCAGAGTTGGCTGTGCTGACTCCAATCTCTCTGTTTCTCACTGATGGTGAAAGATCTGACTTTGGCACCGATATCCATTGTATTTCATTCCAGCCATTAATACACCACATATAAGAATATACCTAAAGGAACATTTGTGTTGCAAACTAATCCATAAATTAATTTCTGCAGACTGTACTTATAGAGTTGTGATTTGTTCTTCTGTGGACATTTTACCTAATTTTTGATACCCAGACATGTTTTGAGAACACATTTTGTCGTTTTGACACAACCAAACTTGAAGAGCTGTGGCTAAATTTATGATTATGGGACTGTATTGCCATTCCAAATATTTCACTAGGTCTGACTGAATTTTTACCTACTGGAATTTGTGTGCTCCTATTCAGAGGTGTCTTTATTCTTAAGCAAACACTAATTAGGGTTTTGTTAATTTGTACAGACCTTCTATCAAAGAGTTCGGTACTTCTTGGTAAGTCTGATACTGTGTTAAGCTTGCCTCAAGTCTAGTCTGGTGATCTCAGTGGAAACTATAGAACTGAGTCAGATCCCATTTCCATTATCATCTTCATTTTATTGATAATGGACCGGACTTCCAAGGCCAGAGTTTTACAGATGAAATAATCTAGGGAAGGTTACTAAATTAAAAATATTCCTTCTCAGTTTCTTTATGATTAACTTTGAGCAATGCTGTGCTTGATTTTCCTCAGCAGGTGGCAATCTTAACAAAGCCAAATGGATTTTCTTAGCTTTCTGCTAACATTCTCATGTCCCTAATGTGTAATTTCATATGTTCTATTTAACAGCTATGCCACTTTTCTAATTTGTGTAACTTGACCTTATATATCTATATCAGTGTTTTTCAAAGTTGGCAACTTTAACATGTGTGGACACCAATTCCAATTCTGATGGGGGAATGTTGGGAGTGGACACCCCATTCATCTAAAGTTGTCAGATCGAGGACTACCTGTACCAAATTTTATTCTGGAATTGCAGACACGACTATTCAATATAGTGAATGGTTCCAATTCAGGAACAACATAGCCATTCTGAATATGGATTTGTTGCAGTAGGAATGATCAACAGACCCAAGAGCATTTTCTTCCCGTTCTTCTTTCTCTTGCCCACCAAGCAGCACAAGGACTTTGCTATGATTTAACTCGTCCATATAATCTAAAATTGTAAAACACAACATGATTGTCAAATGAAGATAGAAAACCTTGTTTTCAGTCATATGTGAAGATTCTTATGGAGTCCTATCTGTTTTATGTTCGCTGATGTTGACATCAAAAATATTATTTGGGAAAATACTTGTTTTTAATTGCAGGAAAGTTCCAAAACCCATGAACCATTGCATTATATGGTTCAAAATATGGAACCATGCAATAGTCTTAATCTGCAAACTCTTGGAGAGCTGGGTTAAGGCCTATAATTATCTCAGAATTCCTCTTCTGTCTTCTGGCCCACCAGATAAAATGTTTTCTTCTACCACAACAGCTGAGAAATCACAGGAATGTTTTCCTTTCATTAGAGTATGTTGATATTGTGCTGGAGTGAAGCCTTAATCTTTGTTATTTTGGCCATACTAATATTCTGTGACATATATGCTGTCGAAGTATTTCATCCAACTATATATTTAAACCTAGTATGCCTAGGACAATGTCTAGACTAGCAAATATTTTTTCTAACCTTTATTTAAAGGAAAGATTAATTTCATTCACAACTATGGTATACATAGATGAGAGTGATTGTGACAACAAAGGGCATTCAGTATCCAAAATATCAGCACAATAAGCCAACACTTTTATATGTAAATTGCTTTTTTATATTGTATTGTCACTAGTATATATTGTTGTAATACATTTGTCTTATATCTTATCAGTAGGAAAAAAAGCACAACAGTTCAACCAAACTTTAGAACTTAGAAATTAAATTCTATTCATAGCTACTTTGCTCAGTAGTATCTTTTTTTGTTAGCGTTCCAACACAAATGATAGAAGACTGCACTCTTATAATATAAGGGAAAGTGAAGTGCTATGCTGGCATAGGAAAAAAGTGTGAATGGGAGCCTCTTTGGATGAAGACTGTCTGAGTCTGTTTCTGCTTCCAGGTGATTCAATTTCAGAACCTTTCACTGGTAACACAGTTGAGATTTCACCCTGTAATCCCCAGCAGGTCAACTTGACCAGTTGGTCTTTGTCAGGAGAACTGATGATGGGAATAGCAGCCTCCCTATTCCTGCTGGCATAGTTCTTCTCTAGAACTGGCTTTAGGGCAGTGGTGAAATCTAAAATTTGTTACTACTGGTTCTGTGGGCGTGGCTTGGTGGTGGTGGGTAATTGGATGGGCATGGCCAATTTTTTTTTCTTTTAAAACCATTTTTTCTACAACCTCTTTGGTGAAGAGGTTGTAAAAAAATGCTTTCAAAAGGCTCTGATGATCCCAGCTGAGTTGCCTGATTGGCAGAGGCTTTTTTTCTTTTAAAAGCCTCTGCCGATCAGGCAACTCGGCTTGGATCGTCAGAGGCTTTTAAAAGAAAAAAAGCCTCTGCCGATTATGCAACTCAGCTTGGATCGTCAGAGGCTTTTAAAAGAAAAAAAGCCTCTGCTGATCAGGCAACTTAGCTTGGATCGTCAGAGGCTTTTAAAAGAAAAAAAGCCTCTGCTGATTATGGCAACTCAGCTTGGATCGTCAGAGGCTACTGAAGAGGTTGTAGAAAAAATGCTTTTGAAAGCCTTTGACAATCCCAGCTGAGCAGTGCTGACTATTGGGGGTGAGACCTTAACCCCTTCAGAGAGGGCTCGTAACTTGGGTGTCCTCCTTGATGCACGGCTGTCTCTAGAAGATCATGTGACGGCTGTGGCCAGGGGGCTTTTTATCAGGTTCGCCTGATTCACCAGTTGCGTCCCTTTCTGGATCGGGACTCCTTGCGCACGGTCACTCATGCCCTCATCACTTCCCCTCTGAATTACTGTAATGCTCTCTACATGGGGCTCCCCTTGAAGAACACCCGGAGGCTCCAACTGGTCCAGAATGCGGCCGCGCGGGTGATTATGGGAGCGACACGGCACTCCCATGTAACATCACTCCTGCGTGAGCTGCACTGGCTCCCGGTGGTCTTCCGGGCGTGATTCAAGGTGTTGGTTACCATCTTTATTTATTTATTTATTTATTTATTTATTTATTTATTTATTTATTTATTTATTATATTTCTATACCGCCTTTCTCCCGTAGGACTCAAGGCGGCGTACAGTCAAGAAAAATATAGACACACAAACATCGTAAAATTGCTACTTAAAATTATTACTTAGTTTGGTCAATCTTTAGAGCGCTCCATGGTTTAGGACCTGGGTACTTACGAGATTGCCTTCTGCTACCGATAGCCTCCCACTGGCCAGTGCACTCCCACAGAGAGGGACTCCTCAGGGTACTGTCGGTCAAACAATGTCGACTGGTGACACCCAGGGGGAGAGCCTTCACTGTGGGGGCATTCGTCCTCTGGAATGAATTGCCCCCGGAGATACGGATGATCCCTGACTTGCGCACCTTTCACCATGCCCTCAAGACGTTATTGTTCCAACAAGCTGGGTTGACCTAAACATTAATTTTAATGGGTTGTTTTTGTTTTAATGACGTCGGGGCCAAATTATTTAATGTGTTTTTAAATTGTTTTTAAAATTTTATATAGGCTTTATCTTTGTCTGTGCACCGTCCTGAGTCCTTCGGGAGAAGGGCGGTATAAAAAATAGACTAAATAAATAAATAAATCAGAGGCTTTTTTTTTTTTAACTTTTAAAAGCATTTTTTCGGCCAAAGAGGTTGTAGAAAAAATGCTTTTAAAAGAAAAAGCCTCTGATGATTGTGCGGCTCAGCTGGGCATTGTGGGGGGGGGGGTGTCAGGGATTGTTGCTACTGGTTCTCCGAACCACCCGCCTCCATCGCTACCAGATAGAGCGATCCGGTCCGAACTGGGAGCATTTCACCCCTGCTTTAGGGATGATTTAAGGTTTGCTTTTCCTGCCCCATTTGCTTAGTTCATTAAACATCTATTCAAACACCTATTCAATCCGATTAGGACTTTTCTTGCAAAGACTCTATAGGTTGTCATTTATTTATTTATTTATTTATTTATTTATTTATTTAATTTGATTTCTATACCGCCCTACTCCCAAAGGACTCAGGGCGGTGCACAGCCGAACAATAAAACACATACATACAAAATTTAAAAGTAGAATTAAAATCAAATTAAATAGTTTTGGCCCAGACAAATTAAAACCCCAAACTATTTAAAACCCAATTTTAAAATTTAAATATATAAGATACTAAAAGATATTTAAAATTAAAAATCTTTTATAAAGAGGGAGAAAAATTAGGCCAGGTCCGCTTGGTGAAATAATAAGGTCTTTAGAGCGCGGCAGAAGGTGCGCAGATCTGGGATCCTCCGTATCTCCGGGGGGAGCTTGTTCCAGATAGTAGGTGCCTCCACAGAGAAGGCTCTCCCCCTGGGGGCCGCCAGTTGGCATTGTTTGGCCGACGGCACCCGAAGGAGCCCCTCTCTATGGGAGCGTACCGGCCGGTGGGAAGCTATTGGTGGTAGTAGGCGGTCCCACAAGTACCCAGGTCCTGAGCCATGGAGCGCTTTAAAGGTGATAACCAAAACCTTGAAGTGCACCCGGAAGACCACCGGGAGCCAGTGCAGCTCGTGCAGGAGGGGTGTTACATGGGAACGCCATGTCGCTCCCATTACCACCCGCGCGGCTGCACTCTGCGCCAGTTAGAACCTCCGGGTGCTCCTCAAGGGGAGCCCCATGTAGAGAGCGTTGCAATAGTCCAGGCGGGAGGTGACAAGGGCATGAGTGACCGTGTGTAATGAGTCCTGATCCAGAAAGGGACGCAACTGGTGGATCAGGCGAACCTGATGAAAAATCCTCCCGGTCATGGCCATCAAGTGCTCTTCTAAAGACAGCCGTGAATCCAGGAGGACCCCCAAGTTGCGCGCCCTCTCCGTGGGGGCCAATGATTCGCCCCCAATAGTCAGTGATGGCACCAGCTGACTATATCGGGACGTCGGAAACCACAGCCACTCGGTCTTGGGTGGGTTGAGCCTGAGCCTATTCCTCCCCATCCAGATCCGCACAGCCTCCAGGCACCGGGACATCGAGGGCATCGTTGGGGTGGTCTGGGGTGAAGATGTACAGCTGGGTGTCGTCAGCGTACTGGTGGTACTTCACCCCAAAACCACGGATGATCTTGCCCAGCGGCTTCACATAAATGTTGAACAGGAGGGGCGAGAGGACCGACCCTTGCGGCACCCCGCATATAAGGGGCCTCGGGGTTGACCTCTGCCCCCGTCAACACAGACTGCGACCGGTCAGAGAGAAAAGAGGAGAACCACTGCAACACAGTGCCACCCACCCCTAACTCTTCCAACCGGTGCAGCGTGATACCATGGTCGATGGTATCAAAAGCCGCTGAGAGATCTAACAGGACCAGGACAGAGGAGCATCCCCTGTCCCGAGCCCTCCAGAGATCATCTACCAACGTGACCAATGCCATTTCCATGCTGTACCCGGGCCTGAAGCCTGACTGGAACGGATCTAGATACGTCGTTTCATCCAGGTGCTGGGGGAGCTGTTGCGCAACCACACTCTCAACAACCTTAGCCATGAAGCGAAGGTTGGAGACCGGACGATAGTTTACCAACATTGCTGGGTCCAGGGAAGGCTTCTTGAGGAGAGGCCTCACCACCGTCTCTTTCAAGGCGGCGGGAAAGTCACCCTCACTCAACGAAGCATTATAATGGAGCCAGCCTCGTGTCACTTCCCGGGAAGCCAGTACTAACCAGGAAGGACACGGGTCCAATAAACAAGTGGTCGCGTTCAGTCTGCTCAGAATCCTGTCCACGTCCTCAGGGGTCACAGGATCAAACTCATCCCAGATAACATTCTCAAGACCTGCCCCTGTCTCTCCCGCTGAGACTACCCAGTCAGAGTCCAAATCTTCCCGAATCTGAGTGATTTTGTCATAGATACATACAGATACTGAACAAAATCCTCAGCTCTACCCTCCAAGGGGTCCTCCCGCGCTTCCTGATGGAGCAGGGAGCGGGTCACCCTAAAGAGGGCGGCCGGGCGGTTATCTGATGACGCAATAAGAGCAGCAAAATAGCTACA